GCTTCGATGTTCCCCCCCCCCCCCCCCGATCTAGCCTGGGCGGGCGAAAACCCGGCATATCGCTCCGTCCCGTCCGGGGGATGCGAAATCAATACTCTGACGACTACGGCATGCGTTTACAAAAGTAAACCCCCCACCCCCCCCCACCCCCGCCGGGATCCCATAGCAATGCGATCGTCAGCCCGAACGCCGTGCGATACCCCGCCAGGAGGTGCGTGTTTTCGGCAGCGAGGCCCAACTCTCTCTCTCTCTCTCTCTCTTTCGTGGATCTCGTCAACCAACTCTCTTGCGAGGATTGCGATTTTCGCTGCTAAACCCCACCTCGATCTCCTCGGCCGACGGAGGGGCTTCCCCGGAGGCTGGCGCTTCGTCGGGCTTGCCCGCCACGTCGCGCTCCGACATCTGCTGGGAAACTGCGCCATCCTCCTCGGCCCTCTGCAGCAGCTGCATGATGTTCGTCTCGTGGGCCTTGAGTTTTTCCACCTATGTAGTTCCGCGCATACACGGACGCATGTTCGTGTTTTCTATCCGCCGCGAGGCTGACGTCTTTTCATTGGTCAGCCGGTAAGCGCGGTCGATGCAAAATCAAAGAACGCACACATGTGTCAACTCGCACTCTATTTGCACCAATGATCCAAAGCAAGCGCCGGAGCATGATTGCCTGTATGTGCACCTACCTGTGATCTATGTACCAAACGTCATCTACAGCGACGGACTCAGAATCGAATAGCCGTAAAGCACGACGATGTAAAGAGCATGGCGAAGCGCACAAAAGAGTACCATACAAAAAAAACGAGACTATTGTAGCTGCCGCATGCTGGCATTCTTCAAAGTAGAACCGAAAACAGAGTGAGCACCCGACTCTTTTTCGACATTCTCGAAGGTTGTCAATAGGAGGAGAAGGAACGCTTCTCCTTCTTGCCTCCAAGGGGGCTCCGTGGCCAAATGACGTACGACCCCCCCCACCTACCAGTTCGTCCCGGACGTTCTCGAGGCGTTGAATGGTCTCGCTGTCCATCTGCCGCTGCGCCGTGTGCTCGGAAGCCTGGAGTGTGCGTTGTCATTGGCAGGACACGGGCAAGGGTCAACCGCAAACAAAGACGTATGTAGCGACAGCATGAACGCAACCAACGCCAAAGTCTTTCGAGGGCACCGACAAAAAGCTGAGCAGCACCCAACCCAACTGCAGCAGAGGAGCGCCACACTGCTGCAGTAGCGGAACGCGTCGCGGACACAAGCACAACAAAACAAATTACACCGGCAAGCTGCTTACCGCAGGCAAAGACCTTACCAGCCGGCTGTACTCGTCAACGAGGCTCTCGATGGTGTCGCTAGCCTCCCCAGAGGACCCGAGCATGCGGCTCTTCTCCCTCGAGAGCTCCAGGATCAGGTCCTCGCTCGCCGCCCGCGCCGTGTCGAGCTCTTTCACCTTCGCGCTCAGGACGGAGTTCTACATGGCAGGCGCGTGCGGCAGCGTCGGCGATGAGGGGAGAGGGGGGAAACGGCGGTAGTGACAGCGGTATTAGCTTTGGCGGTAGCGGTGATGGTAGCAGCAGCAGAAGCAGGGCAAGATGGAGAGGGTGGAACAACCGGGGGCACTACGTACACAAGTGCGGCGCGACTCATGGCCTCTATGTTTGTCGGGACTCATGGCCTTCGTGCTTGTCGAGGCGGAGGAGGTCTGCATCCATCTTCACTTTCGAAAGAAAGTTGCGTCCATCTCTCGCACCTCGAAAAATCAGTCACAAAAAAAATACTTCTCCGGCCACAACCACCTCGCCCCCACAAGCAGGGGACCGACGCTGAGCCCAACCTTCGTCAGTAGTGCAGGAAGGCCTACTCGTCATCACCCAAACCTCCCCGCCGGGTTGCTCTCCTCTCACCTCGTGCTCCAGCTTGAGCCTCGCCGCTGCCTCCTCGGTGCTCGTCCGCAACGCCTCCTTGAGCTTTTCCTCCCACTCCAAGTTCACGTTCCTTAGCACGTCAAGCTTGGTGGTCGTGGTGGTTGGTGTTAGGGTTTCCCCCCCCAAAAAAAAAAAAAAAGATACGCGCGCGTGTAAGAAGGTGAGAGTCCCACCAGCCGGAGCAGTTTGGGAACGAAACGCACACCTATGCACAACAGCCGTGACCGAGTGACCGAGGTAACAGCGGTGGCCGACTTAACATGACGGTCAACGTTGCTGCTGAGGAATCCGCACAGCAGCAGCGCGGCAAAAGGGACCGCCTTCGGGAGAAACAAAGTTAACGAGGAAATAGAACAGGGGGGGGGGGGGGGGGGTACGCAAACCCTAACCCATACCAGGTACCTCCCAACCCAATTTCACCGATTGCACGCTTTATCCAAACGTTACTCAGTAGAAAAACCTTGCGAGGGCTACTGGCGGGCGCCCGCACCTCCGCCTCAAGCTTGACCAACATGTCCACCCCCAGCGCGCCGCCGGCCCCCTCTCCGTCGTCCCCCGTCTCAGGGTTACCCCCCCCTCCCCCGCCGCCGCCGCCGCCGCCGCCGCCGCCGCCTTCCCCATCCTCCTCCCCCCCGGTGGCCTTGAGGTACAGCTTCTTCCAATGTTTCGCCTCGTCTTCTTTCTCTCTCAGGGCCGCCTGGGTTTCCTTGCCTAGCTTGGCCTGGTCCATCTGGAACCCCACCAGCATTTGCTTGTAGATCTGGGACGTTCGAAGAGAGGCCAGGGGGAGTTTAAGGGTTTCGCGCACGTCTTCCTACGCGAATAAATTCTGAAGCTTATCTAGTAAGTACAAAATAGAGAGGCAGGCGTTATGTGGACCCTAACGCTAACCCCAGACTTTTTACTAATTCCATGCTTCATCCACCATGTTTCGTCGGATAAAAACCTGCGTGTGCTACTGCAGGGGGGCGGCGGACGCTCCGCAGTGTGACAGGAGCGAACAGAGCTGGCTATCCATGCCAACCGGGTTCGAAGGAGGGAAGTTCGCGCAGTCGACAGGACGTGGGGCGCCCTTCTACCAGTCTTGAGTCGGTTCCATCATCCGCAAAACTCGCCAAGTGCGCAGCGCACGGCAATTTGTACAGACCGCGGGGGGGGGGGGGCGGTGATCTTGACGGCATCGCCGCACAAGAGGGCCCCCATAATAGTTTTGGTCCTGGCAAGGCGTGTCTGATTGTGAGAACGGTGTCATGGCATCCAACAGGGGCTGCACCCCACAAAAGAGGCGCTTGTGGTGAGAAGGCGACTGAGCCAGTTGAAGACACAAACAAGACGAGAAGGAGAGGACAAGATGCTAATGGCTATGACCTGACGACGACAAGAACAAGAGAATAGCGAGGTCTCAAACACGGACAAGATCGGAATGGCAACGAAGGAACAACAGGGCAACGATCATCAGAACAACGGGGACGACGACAACAACAACAACATGAGACCTACAGCAAGGACAAGACGTGGACGATGACAACAAGATTTAGGCACCCCCCGAGAAATTGCACGCGGATGTGTACGTTGGACCCTCTATAAACTCCGCTTTCCGCGAAAACGACGCGAGTTTGTCCCCGCCCCGCCGGCACCGCGTATGCGTACCTCTGCCTCATCGAAGTCGCCGCCGCCAGCCCCCCCGCCCCTGCTTCGCCGCTCCTTCTGGAGGTCCTGCTGGATCTCTGCGACGGCGGAGCTCATGCCCTGCGCCACCTTTTGGGCCTGTTCGCGTAATAAACAGCAGCAGCAGCGGTAGCATGACGAAGGTTAGCAACAACACCGATACGTCTTGGCTCGTGCCCAGCAGCAGCAGCAGAAGCAGCAGTAGCAGCAGCAACAGCGACGGCTGCTTTCGCCGCAACTGCTCTCTCACGCACTAGCTTCATCCACGGCATCATATTTGTGTCCAGCGAAACGCGAAGCCGGAACAGGCACACACGACGCTCTGCGCTGCTGCCGTCCGCGTTTGTTGCTGAAAGTATAGTGTTGTCTTCACTCTTTTCGACACAAGAATTGCACCCAAATCATATAGAAGTAACTTTTTTCTTCCTAGCATGCCTGGGTCACACCCCGCGCTGACGCGGAGTAATATCGTTCGGCTTCGGTGGACACAAGTCTAGAGGCAAACTCAAAGAGGGTGCCAAGACGGGGACAACTGCGATGGTCCTCACGACTCAAGTGCCGTACGGAGCAACAGCTGCTGTTTTGTCACCGACACCTCCACCGCTTCCACCCGGTTTCAAGGTCGAGGTAGCGGAACACTGCCACCCTGCCCGCCGATCGACAACGAAGGCATCCATCCGGCAAACTTCGCGTGCACAAGGAACAACAACACACGCCGGTGGAGCCGCGCGTTTGCGACTCAAGGGTCCGCCGCACTCGCCAAACCGTCTTCAAAACAACTTTCGAACAATGTACAACATCGGGACACATGAATGGCGCAACTTTTAGCTGACACGAGCAATTCGGTACCCTTCCAATGAGTCGCGACCAGAGCAGCGCTTCACTCGGAACAGTGGGCTCTCTTCTGCTGGCGTGGTGGAAGCGTGCTTCGGGGATCAGCCGCCCCTTCACGAGAAAGCGTTCGTCAAGACCGAAGGGCCAAACACTCTTGTTACGACCTACATATACAAGCATATAGAAGTATATGCTAAACTTGACGTATTTTTTTCATTTTTTCTGTTGATTCACCAAGCACTACATAGCTGTCCTTGCGTGCGACAGCAGCTTGAAACGGTCTGCTGCTTTCGACGCCCGTCACTTGGCGGTGGTTGCCAAAACAGGCGTGAAAATTCGCATCTGGTCAGGAATAAAATCATCCACACAACGCGCCCGGTTGCCGCCGTTGTTGCACAGCAGTACTTCAAGAGTAGTGGTAGTGTACGAACAAGTACTCAACTTGTCTCATTTGTTCCCCTTGTCGACCCGAGTGCCTAGCTCGTGGTATTGCTATTGTTACGGTAAACTGAAAGGCGCTGGCGTCTATTGCAGGTTACCTGGCCAATAAGGGTGTCACGGGTAGGTCGCGAGGGGACGGTGCGATGTTCCCCGCTGTTCAACATGGGTCTCAACACATGGGTAGCTCGCGAGGGGGACGGTGCGATGTTCCCCGCTGTTCAACATGGGTCTCAACACATCGCCGCGGCTGCCGCAGTTGACTAATGAAAATACAGCAGATGAACAATGAATTCCATTTGCTAATCTGTCTCAGACTCTTTTCTCAAGATGGAGATGGATTCGTTGTGTCATAAATTATTAAGAGAAAAAAAAAAAGAAAGATAAATCCAGCGCGTTTTCTCTCTCGCGGTGTATTGTACAACTTGTGATGATGGCTCGAGTCAAGACGAGAGGAGCGAAAGCATGCCGGGCGTCGCCATAGCATGCCGGGCAAATGCATCTTCCCAGCACCTGCGCCGACTATCTCCGCTGCTGATCAATGAGAGACGGCTGCCAGAAAACGCATCACGATACGGCCGCGACAAGAGTGGCACGTGACGATACATGTATGTAGGCACGAACCGCGGCAGCTGACAATCACGAGAGAGAAGGAAGGACACAGCGGCGGCGGCAGCCACATTGTTTCAAACCGAGTGCACAAGAGCATGGTACATCTGCTGCGTGCAGCAAGCTCCCGGATGAACGCTCATGAGCCAGGTACAGCACTAGGCGTGCACAGCAGCACAGCAGTACGATGATACTGCTGAAGGCAGACCTACTGCTGTACAACCTACAATAGAGTGCATACACGACGTAGTAATAGAAGTAGATAGTACGATGGATGAAGTACGGAAGCATTTCAAAATACGAAACACAACTCATTGGCCTTACCTTGGAACCAATGGCGTTCCACATGGTCTCAGTAACTCTCCGATGCTTCCCTGCAGCTGCTTCTCTTTTCCCAACTAAATGCTCCGACCTCTCCTCTCTTACGCACTGGGACTTCCTTGTTCGGCTGCGGGGTGGAAGTACGTGCGTGCGCTGCTGGTGATGTAGGCTAAAATCGATGAGAAACACCAGGTGCCGCCGCGTTGTTCCGCGATGCTATCAACCACAGAACCGTGAGGAGGTTCCCGAGGTACACGTGTGTCGGAGAGCAAACGTTGACTAGAACAACACGAGCCACTACTGCAGCACTCGTCGTGCGTGCTTCTCTCCTCGCGTCTGTCTGTGAGCTTCTGGTCTCGCCTGTGTCTTGTGTGCGTGCCGCAAGGTCGGGGGCACCGCAGATAGTATTCGAATTTCATTGGGTACGGGCGGGGTGTTCAAATTGGACGATACAGCAGTATCAGTATCGATCCAGCGATCATCTTTAGGATCGATCATGATGCATGAATACAGGGGAGGCCGGGGCGACTTGGTATGGCGATGGCCATGGCCGTCCACTTCTACGTCCGACCTACACGGCTCCTCGCCTTTTGCCGTACAGTTCACGGGGAGCAATGTTGAGGCACTCGGTGCCCACTTCACGAATGAGCATTAGTACTGCTGCTGCTGAAATATAGTCTATGCGTACTACCCTCGCATGCTGGCGGCCTTTGACCACTAAAGCGGGTACCAGTAGGTATATCTATCGTTCGATTCAAATGCAGGCTTCGCGACGGAGTGGCTTCAGGCAAGAAAAAACGCTCCTGGGTACATATTTTGTAGGTCGCACATCTCATGTAGCATGGTCTACGTACAAGTATTGCTGTTGTACTCGGAGTAGGAGGTTCGCTCGTTTTTCACTCTCCAAAAGGAACGGAGAGTAAACAGTGACACTAGTGGTCTAGAAGTGAGAAGCAAGACCTCAGACTTTTCCATTCGTTGGTTATGTTTCAAATTTGTTTGCTTGTATCTTGTGCTTGTTGTCTCGGTGCACTACATCATAGAATGTGTTGTATGTCAATGCATGTATCCGCGACGGCGCAACGAGCCAGGAAACGCCGCACGAGCCTGCCATCCGAACCGTCATGGTCGTGGCACTAGCCACATCGGAAGTGCGCCAAAGTACAGCTCGTGGCTATCTATCCGGAAAAAGATAGATGATGATGCGGTGTATGCCATTTCGCGAAGAACGTGAAAAAAAAAAGGAACACAACACGAACACAAAACACAAGAGGCAGGGCAAGAACAAGCGTGTCGTTGAAGAAGGACTACTGTAGACAGCAGCCAGGGGTAGTCCACGAAGAGCAGTACCATCAGTGCCGGCCAACAAGAAAACCACCATCACCACACAAGAAATCAACACTCAGATTTGGTTCAACACAAGAAAAGAGTGGAAAAGATTGGGCTCAGCCCCCCGGGCCACCCCAATCCCAAATGTATGGTAGCTTGGCAAAGCCTGTTCTTGAGACGCCACAATGAATGTTGAGGTTTCTTAGAAGCGGGTCGGCGCGGCTCTGTACCCTTTTTGAATCCGCCGTGGTCAAACACGTAAATGCACGACGTGCACTGTAGTAAAATTTCAAGTTTGTCCAAGAGTTCATCCGCAAACCGGTGCGTTTCCTTTCTTTCGTCCGCCCCCCGACACAAACCGACCAATAAAACTCAGCCCCCATCAAGCATCATGCAGCATCTACCTCTGCTTCCCCTTCGAGCCGCACGGCGTGGCGTGTTCAGACCCCCGCCGCCGTCGTCATCATCCGTCAATAAATACCGCCAGTGACATTTTAACTGAAGAAATAGAGCAAAAAACATCGATGTCCCCACTACAAAGGCCATGAACGCCTAACCATCCGCGGTTGAGCTGGGCGGTTTGGACACCACCACGCCAACAGACTCGGTCGTCCCTAAGACAGCCAGACGGGGGAGGATGTTGCCCTACTCCCCCCCCTCCCCCCTTGATGTTCTCCGGCGAAGAGTACCTAAACGATCGTCCAGAAGAGGGCGAAGACGCGCACCCCGAACGAAGACCAAACACACCGAAAAGAAGCACCCTTAACTTAGTCTAGAGCTGGCTCTCACAACCCTCGACTTGCTTGTTGTTCGGTTCAACGGAGACAGCAAAAACAAAAACAAAAACAGACCAGATAATAACAACACGTTTGTTTTTTATTCATCACGCAGCCGCAGATACATAATTTACATGCGCACGTACTTTTCGACGGACCAAAAGGCCAACAGCACCGGTGTAATAGACCTCCCTTTGTCTCCACGGCACGGTGATAGTGTGTCAGTACGCCCTCCTTGTTCTTGAGCCTCTAAAGACGTACAGATAAAACGACTGCTGGCTGGTCTCCCCCCCCCCCTCCCCCGTTACCCGTCAAAACACGAAACTTCGAAAACATGAACTGAATCGGTACAGGACAGCAGTACAAGTAGGTCATCGTATAAGAACGCCGTGAGTGATGTCAAAACATGCCTTGCCCCCCCCACACCCTCGACAAAAACCCAAACCTCCTTCACGCCTGTATCGACCGCTTTCACATCCCTCACACGAAAAACCGTCCGCGTATACATCGATCGCTCCACACCCATGACAAAAAAAAAAAAGTACAGTAACCGCACGGTCGACAACAACACCCTCCTTTCGTTCTCCACTACCATCACCATCACCACCGCCACCACCACCACCATCACCACTCCCGCTTATTCCGCAGGAAGGAAGGCATGAGCCCAAACGTTTCTCGCGGGAAGAAAACACAAAACGTATCCACAACAATCACCAACGACTGAGCTGAGCACACACAAAGCCAAAAGACGACGGAACCGAAACAAACAAAAACAAAACGATCACAAACACACCACACAAGCCGCCCCAATTCTTGAAAAAGTCGACGATCGCCACGTTTTGCCCAGAGGAAAGGGACAGGGGGAGGCCACCGGAGAGAGGGAAAGTGTCTGTAAGAGGGGGCCGGGGGCCGGGAGTTGATTGAGAGGCTGTGCACGGGACCAACCTACAAAAGAAAACGAGATAAGACCCGACAAAAAAAAAACATAAGAAGAAGGGAACAAGCAAACCCCTACCGTACGTACAACAAGAACACAAGACAGTGGAGAAGAGAGTGCACTAAAAAAACACGCGGTGGGACCGTGGAGCGGGCCGCGACAACCTTATCCCTGTACTGTACTTCGGCTTGAGCTAGCGGGGGGTGGGCGACCACCTCCCAGTATGATACACTTGATACATCTGACCGCTTCATTCAGCGAGCAATCGTAAGA